GACACAGAACATATAGGACAGCCCACAACACTCGGCGAGGAGCAAGATGCGTTTCATTGGGTGGAAACATACAAAAATTGTACACACAGTGTTAAAACTAAATGAAGAGAATCAGGATGGATTGAAACAAACATTGGAGTAAGGGATCGGACATATCTTCATGTCACGAGGAATAAAGAAAAAGAGGACAGAAGACCAGACAAGAAAAAAAAAACATGGTCCAATTCCATGCCCCCCCACCCCACCCTTGCCTTGGGTACCATTAGTCCAGCTGGACATAGGACCACTAACAGCGCTCGTAGACACGTGTTTAAATGTGAAAAGATAAAAAGAAAAGACAAACAAAATTAATGAAATCTTACTGACAAGGAACACGCGCACAGAGAAAGAATAAGGACAGGGCAGCGAGAGTGAGCATTCCAAATCCACTTGTACATTCACTAGGATCACAAAACCCTACATCCACATTACAATACTGATGTCACTATGACCACAATACGTTCTCTGTAATCTGCATGAGAAAGTAACAATAAAAGGTTATACCAATAATAATATCCAAACATCACAGGGCAGACTGAATTTTGTCACTGGCCAAAGTTTGCCCACATGGGGCCTACACTTACCGTGTGTAATGATTGTATAGCGATTTCTGAATTTCCTTGATTCAGGAAGAGATGAGCTTTCAGCCAGTAGAGACGCAACACGTATTTCAAATGTTCCTCATGAAATAAATCTTCCCGGCCCGACAGTAATACCAACTGTCCTAGTGATTCTGCTGGGAACTGATCCTCACACCTACAATGCAAATACAACACGATACAAAATTATGTGGAAAGTTGTCAGGTATGCTGTAAGAACTCAAAACCTTTGATACTTTAAGACTTTCATGGTTGGGTGAAGAACCATTCGGCACTGTACAGACGTACAGTTTGTAAAAATTCGTTTATGACATGGGCTCTTCAACTTTCATAAATGCGCAAATGTTAAAGTATTGGATACTTTCGCATTCCACTCTCTATTCGAAAGCTTTTTCTGCATCTAACAATTTATGACTTAAAGAATGCAATGGAAATGAGACACTGCTGAACAGATACAGCAAATGAAGATGCTCACAGTGATATAAAGGTAGAAAATAATTTATTTGTTGCAGTGGGCTCTTCTCTGTTCAGGGTTCCACTCTCGTCTGAACCACGATTATACAACCTCTTCTCATTCTGCAGACAACCATCAAGAAGTAGCTCTCCGTACAACAAGGTGATGCACGCATCTTCTACGAGCGAACAGGCATCTTCGTCAGAGGAGAACGCGGAAGGATGGCTCACATGTTGCCTGCAATAAATTAAGCATTTTCCCAGATTTTGTAAATTACCATTATACCAAGGTTACACTTTGTGTGCGTGCATGCATACGAGAGCGCATGTGTGAATGGTTTCTTTAGTACAGAGATAATTAAAAAACCATTCAAAATGTGGCTCATAAACCTTGAATGTTTAACAGAATTCCACACATCACCACCTGTGCTTACCTCATACACACATATGCCTGTAGAAACACAGCAGGGAGGGCTGCAGGCCATAATAGCTGCCATTTACTGCTCAGTGACCTCACATAGCTGGTAAGCAGGTCAATGATGTCACACCGAGTGTTGGACTGAATAAATTCCTCAACATCACAGTTTTCCTTTTCAGATCCAAAATATCCTTCCTCAGTTAACTTTACCCTTTCTCCTTTCCTATAAAAATTTATATTTACATTAAACTCTGTGATTATAAAAATATACGAGAAAAAGAAACAAAATTCAATCCATTAAAAACATGCAGTTTAAGATTACTGTTTCAGACAAACGCCAATAACCAACTACAAGACCGCACGGTCTCACAACACTCAAGATCACAACTGGCATCTTCACTAATGCAAAAACCCCAAATCCAAGACTGAATCTCTACGGAGATGGGGGAACACTAGGCACGGTTCTCTATTACCCTGAAGATGGAGACATGTCTATCCAAAATGTTGTTGGTTGTCATGTACAAGACGTGGTGTCACAAGCCAGAAGACCACCTTAATTTCTCAACTTATGGTTCTCCCAACATGTCATCCAGTCACAGCCTCTGGTCAGTCGTCACAAGTTCTCAATTTACTTGCATTAAGAAAAGTTACATAGGGAACTTGCATACACAGAACAGTCTTTGAACATCTGACATATTAATCTAACTGTTTCAAAACTTGGATCACTTTAAGACAAGTTTTTCTTATAACAAATTTGTGATAAAGAAAACGAATCATCGACTAAAGGAAAAAACCTTACTCTCTGCTAGGCGAAACAGCAGTCGAATGGTGATTGTCATCGGATCGACCTTCTGTGCTTTCACGTCTTTCAAACAGCTTATAGAGATCCATCGTATTCAAGGAGTTTTCTGTAGACTTCATAGCTTCCAGATCCTTTCGCTTGTCATCTTTCATAACATTTGGCCTGTAGCACATTACAACTGGTTACTAATTATTTCACATATTTATTAGCTGACTATACGAGCATCCACGAAACAAAGGTACTACAGCCTGAAAATATATACATATTAAAGATGATAAAACCAGTAATGATGATGTCAATACATCAATATATACCAGCTTATATTCTTATCTAAACCTATGGCTAGCATCACAAAGCAATCCTTACACTGGGGACATGAAAAGAGCAAACCATGATTAAAGTGAAATTGGATGACACCAGTATTTCTTTCTGAAAAGGCATTTTCTGTAAATGAAGTGCAAAAATCCACCACTGAAGTGCAGAAGACAGCAGCTCTGTTATGTGTCCAGACACAATCTCAAGATGCAGCAGCTGTACAGAGGCATGAGGTCTAAACTCTGAAACTTAAATTTCAAGGAGAAGTACACAGAAGTTTTCCCATTAAGCACAAAGCTGTAAGATCTGAGATCCATGGCATTATTTACAATAATGACTGCGGCACAAGTCTCCTCAGTGCTTCCTCCAAGTTACCCTCCTCTCTCTCTGCCTCCCTTTTGACGGTAGAACGAACTCTGGCCGAACGACGCTTTCCACCCCACATCCATTGTTCAAGAAAGGACAGAGAGCTCCGGCGTCGCTTCCGTGATTTTGTATCGTCGCCTTCGGTGGTTCCTGCAACAAACATTGTTAACAGAACATTTTCTTTACCAGATGAGGTAAGTACATGTGCAAAATTTTACTGAATATAGTGGCATGTAGTTACTATTTAATGAGGTTGCAGATAGCATCGTAATGTAATAATGTCAAGCCCCAGCGCTTCTAAAGACGTTAACTCTTGAGCGAGTAAGGGCAGACGGCTCACGAGACAATGAGACATCATCGAAGTATCATTCTTGAACTCCTGGCCATAGTACCGCGCCACTTACATCCAGAAATTGTGGCTTCTGCCTAATCAATACAAACTACCAACCATTTCAATATGAAAGTCTGACAATCAGTACAAAAGATTCTAGCATCATACAGAGCCAGAGATTATACGTCAGCTCATAAGAGAAAATGCAAATTCTTCAGCACGCTTCAGAAGTTAACAGAGACGCCACACCTCTGGCATCAGCTGCTCCATCTTCTTCTCCCGGAGCAAGTGAAGGAGTTTCTTCATTCACAGCAGTCCTCCCATCCTCAATTGCCACTTCTTCAACATCCACTGTCTCATCTGCTGGCTTCACATCTTTTTCTGCATGATTCACAGTTCCTGCCATTACCTCCAGGTCAACAGGACAGCAGAAATGCTAAAACAATTACACAGTCATTTCAGAAAACCAATTAGACACATCAAGTGATACCTTCATGAAAACACAATCTACAATATGTTTTGCGCTGAATCCATTACTAAGGAATCTTAATATAAATGTTTCGACTGCAAAGTTCTAAAATTTGCTAAATTATTCACAATTTTATTATTTAACACGATATATCATGAATTATAAGCTGTTTCAAACAGTTAATACAGAATATCCGCAGTTTAGTTCTATAAAGGGACGAGCATTTGTCCAAGTTATTTCCTTACAAAAAACAAAAACAAAATATAATTACAATAATGATTTATATTACAATCCTTCACGTGACATATGCAGCTATACCCCATGTTCTGCATTTTGTGATAATACCAACTGGCTTAAACATTGCAAAAGAATCTACACACATGCTCCTTCATTTGTGTTGAACAAGAAACCACTAAACAACAAAAATTTGCAGCAAATATTCTATTTTACAAGTATTTTAAGCTGGGTCCAACTATTTTACAGCCACATAACACTAATATTTTGCTATATTTTAATAGTGACACCAAGCTTCGTAGTCGTCCAATTATAGTTGACAAGAGCCTAAACACAGTTTTATGAGGAACTGAAGCATCTCGCTGTGTTTATTGTAGAGGTTCGTCATGTCCAAAGGAAGAACTACAAATATATTTTACTGGAAATGCCAAAACAGGATTCTGGAGTGACATTAACTCTTACTATCAACAGATTTTCAAGGTCAGAATTTAATGTTAACTTCGGTTTTCTGGAATATGGCAAGTGCAATGTTTGTCAAAATATCTGAACACCGCCAATACAAGATGCAGCTCATCCCAGAAGCTACGCATTTCTCTCTCTCTTACATCTAACAACATAACAACTTACCCTGATACTTCTGTTAGTTTCAATGTGCCGATGGAGCTGCACAAGACCGTTTCCTAACGCTAGCCATGTTTTTGCCGAAAGTGCCTGAACTAATGTAATCGTCTCCACAGGTTTCAAAGTAAATGCATCACTAGAAACTTTCCTTTTCTTTTCTCTCATTTCCAGAGCTTCTTCAATGAACTCTCTGCCTGTTTCACCGGCAAGTTTCGTATTCAAACAGCCAAGACCACTGATAACATGAGAACACAGCATTAAGTAACACAACACACACACAAAAATATTAGTAAATTAATATATTGATAACGTACATGCCTGGTATGTTATTAGTAGAGAGGAAACGTGGTTTTACAGCATAAACCAATTGCAGTGTCATTATAATCCATCAATATATTAAATTCCAGTTACTACTTACTATCCTTTACAATAAAAACTGAAATCATTGATGATTGAAGGTTGTTCTGCCAGGATTTTGTCTCTAAATGCTAATCCCTTGGCAAAATCAGGATCTAGCTCAAAAGCTCGAGCTATGTATAAAAGGCACGGAAGGTATCCATTTAGCACGTACAAGACGGTCACAAGGTTGTCCAAACACGGCCAGTGTCGCGGGCTACATCGTAGTCCCTGATTACAACAAGTAAAAACTTGTGTCAGTTAAGTGCTATCAATACACAAATATTTTAAACACGGGGTTCAAAATAAAATTCATCGTTCTTAATCTAATACAACAAAATATCCAACACACAATGAAAATCTGTCATACACGTGTACAGCCAAGTGCAGCCGAAGTAGCCAGTAACCAGCCTAGTGCTGGGGCGATTTGTATCACTGTCTGGTCCAGGAATTGGCGACTGTCTTTGCTGGTAGACTTAAGAGTAATGAAATGGAAGGTGTTCTCGTCTCTGCTCAGTTCTCTTTACTCTTAGTGCAATTTAACAATGAGCTGACTTCCTGCATAATTTTTCCATATTTAAATGTCTTTTCCTTAGAACATTTCAAAATGTTACAACCTAAACTACAACAACATTTATTACTTTTCAAATCAAAAAGATAGCTCAAAATGCATAAATGTAACAGAGTATGCATGCCCACGAAAGTATAATCCTCATTAGAAGTTGATTCAGCGATATTAAATAAAAACTACGTTTCAAAATAGGTATAAATATACACTTAAATGTTCTAATTCACTGATTGTTTGACGATGGATTTTGTAAACCTTGTGGTCAAAGTGTCACCTCCTTCCCCATCCACACACACACACACATTGAAAATCCTTTCCCAATTAACATGGTCAGCAAACACCTTCTATCCTCACCCTACGTTCCTTAAAAAAAAAATTCAACACCTCTTTTCCTCATCACACACAAACCTCCCATTAGATAACAGTCCGCTCTTCTGTTCCACCAATCACCACCATAAAATCCAACCCTCCTTCTACCTGCCTGCCCCATATAAGGCTGCAAAAAAAGAACACCCACAGCCAAAGGCACAACAAAAAGAGAAATTCAGCTTAATTTTCATTAACTTTACTCAGGGAGAAAACCATTACCTCAAGAAAAGCATCACAGGCCAGTTCGTAATCAACGACTAGAAGAGCGACTTTACCGATACGATACCACAGCGTGACATCACTGCGATCGAGCTCAGATGCCTGGTGAATAAAGAAAGTCACAAGTTGGAACGAGTTTCAAGAAAACCTACTTTAGTAAGAGGACTTCCTTCATTATTGCTTTATACATTTAATGCATAAAATGAACTACAAACCAGCTTTACTTTGATTAGTGACGAAGGATTTTCAAGTTGTTTTGAAACAGAAACAGTGTTGGTGCCTAAATATGCATGAGGTAAGACACAATTTTTCAACACACTTAAAATTACAGTCATGTTCATCTCAGGCTCCATATCCTCATTACGCACAGTGACAAAGTATGAACAGAAATGTACGTAGGCTAAAAGAAATGCACTGATGAAATTCATGTTGAAAACCCTTGACTATGTAATTTAATTCTGATTGTATTCATCTATCTAAACTAAGGAGTAAGTCTATGGAATTAGACACAAATATTGATATTCTTTATGTTCTGCTGACTTAAACAGACTGCTCCCTGGTATTAAGTTTATTTGTAATGTCATACTTATGTATCACTCAGAAAAAGTATGAAGATCACTATTTACTAGTAAGAAGTACACAAATGTTATTACCTGAAGAAAACGCTGCAAAGCTCCTTGTAATTCTCCTTGTTTTTCTAGTAACATACCCATGTTTTTCAAGCACGAATATTTCAGAACCAAAGCTGGGTGACGCAAGCCTTCTGTTCCATCTCGCTTTGTAATCTGCAAACACAGAAACCACTGTTTTACAGAACTGCACTTTAAGAGATGCATATGGTGCAGTACAGTCAATCAAAAATACCCACCTCAACTAAGAAACTGTTTTCAAGCAATGTTTGGAAAATTCCCTTCGCAGCACCAAAATTCTTCTCCCTCAGCATAGCTAAGGCTTCATTATACTGGGCAAAGGCAATTTGTTCCTGTCAATCAAAAAACAATTAGTAAAGATGATTAAATGTGCTGCTTTTATATAAGAACAGCAAGAGGAATTTCAAAGGTTGTGCACAGTGAAAACTTTTGTGAGAGAGGTCAAAAATCACTGAACTCCAAAGGCAGGCTCACTGACATTCCGATGGCCTGTTATGTTTCTTCTGGGACTAGGAGTGGAGTCCGAGTTCTCTGAAGGGCCCTAACACGATCAGGGATGCACAGTGGACCCAGAAGTGGTCTGAGTGTGTGCCTGGGGCGATTAAGTTACTCAAAACTTATGGGGACTAAAATATTTGACCTGTGCTTCTCTTCTGATTAATGGCGTTTCCTCTTCTTTTTCACTTTCTTCTGATGATTCTTCATTCAAAGCCCGAAGTCGGATCATGGCAAGTTATTTTTTGTGACTACAACCACGACCGGGAACAAACACATAACTTAACACTTTCCCTAGAAAATTGTGCTTTTATAACTTTTCTTTCTTCTGCTACTGGATCAGAGTCATAGATAATAATATGTGGAGCGACGTCAGAAACTTACGCTACGACATTAGTCCAACCAGTTTCATTAGTCATGCATTTCCACTAAAATGATTGTGCCATTAACCCGATCTTAATTATTGTTGAAGTGCAATTTCGAGTGATAAGCCAGTTCTACCCAATCGTAATTTGTCTGTGAGAGACATCTAATAACGAATGAGGAAAACAAGAGAAACATTTGGTAAGAAATAAAAATCCATCGACCTCAGCCGGGTTTGAACCCGCGAACCTTGATTCCAGTAGCGAGTACACTAACCATTAGTCTACGGAGGGTGACTGTATTGCTAACACAAAAAGATAAGAATGATATATAATACTTTCTTCCTCTGAATCATTGTATTTCTTGAAGTTTCTAAATAGCTTATTCTCCGTTGCCGATTTCTCCAATAATTTGAAGTGCTGAAAATCTGATTTATAATTGACTGACTACGTCTACATTCAAGTTGCTTATCCTCAATAATTTTATCTGTGTACGACGCAAGGATAACATTTATAGAGGACATAATAGTATAGGATTTGAGGTTTTCGCAGAGGTGAGTCTGAAGTTTGCAGTCTGTTGTTTTATTGTGTCGTGTAGTCTGGTAGATGTTTACCGACGTTTCAGAGGTCCTATTCATCGCTCTGATGATGGAGGCAGCAAAGACCTTTGAAACATCTGTAAACTTGTACCAGACTACACGATGCAACAACCCATAATACAGCTACCTTCGCTTTCATAGTGAACTATACGGTGTCACAACCCAGGATACTACAATCCCTGCGGGAAGGGAATGACATATCTGAATTATATTTAATCAATGATGGCAGTACGAATTGGCGGGGAAATGGGAATTTTGTGTTTTGCAGATGTTTGTCTTACCTGAAGTGATTTGTTTGTAATATTTAAATAGTGATAAATGTACACCTTTGGGCGACTGTCGAAGTGAGTATATTTACTAACAATTTTAAACAGGAAATTTTGATAATGGAGTATTCTGGAAGAAGAAAGTTTATTTCATCCATTCATTCTGTACAAACTGGTAGTCTTGTGGAATTGTATCCTAATGACTTACAGCTGTACAAGATTCCACCCTCTTCAAGTATTTCACTTGCGGAATTTGAAGATCTAGCACAAGAGAGATTGAAAATATTGAGAACAATTGATAATATCAATTTAAGAGGGTTGAATAAATATTCTGTGGAGTGGAAAGGAGCATTGACTGCAGAATTAAAAAAGTTGGGATTGAAAAGCTTTGCAAAATTGATAAATGGAACTGGTTGTGGCCAGACAGAATCAGACTTGCAGATCAGAAAGCGAGACCATGTATCACATTTTATCTTGCGTCTTGCATACTCTGGATCTGAGGAGTTGAGACGGTGGTTTCTTTCAAGAGAACAAGATTTGTTCCGAACACGGTTTACCTCTCTTAGTGCTGAGGGAATACAGCGATTCATGCAAGTCAATAATTTAAAATATGAACCAATCTCGGAGGCTGTAAAGGCCCAGTTAAGACAGTGTTTATTTGAATCTTCATTTGCAATGCTATCAATGGCCAGTGTAGATGCTCATGAATTCTACCGTGTTCCTTATACCGATGTGCAGGACCTGGTACGATCTCGAAAAGTTTACTTGTGTGGTGGCTTTGCATATGTTCCATGCACTGACCTGATATCTATACTGTCAACAGTCTTTAGGATTAATTTGGCTCATGGTATGGCAGTGACGGCTCGTATGCTCCCCTCTTTGGAAGGCGATGAGCGTGTATTTCGATTGTTGAAGAACCTGCACCAGAGTTACACCGGTGAAGAATATTCTAGTCTCAAGAACAGCAATGTTGGCAGCATACAGTTGGACCAAGTTGATCTACTTTCTCTCCATTCCTTTCCTCCGTGCATGCGGAAACTACGTGAGCATCTGCGTTCCAATCACCATATGCGTCACGGTGGCCGAATGCAGTTTGGTCTGTTCCTGAAAGGTATAGGACTTTCTCTGGAAGATGCATTGCAGTTCTGGAGGGACGGATTCTCTGAGAAAACTGACGCAGGCAAATTTGAGAAGAATTATGCGTATAACATCCGGCATAACTACGGTAAAGAGGGAAAACGTGTGAACTACACCCCATACAGCTGCTTGAAGATCATAATGTCATCTGTGGGACCCGACGATGCTCACGGCTGCCCATTTAGGCACAGTGACTTGTCACATCTGAAACAACAGTTACTTGCATGGAATGTTCCAGTTGCTGGAATAAATGAAGTGGCAGAACTTGTTAGCCAGGGCCATTACCAGCTAGCATGTGCCAAGTATTTCCAGCTTTCACATGGTGCACAGTGTGATGAAGGGATTATTCATCCAAACCAATACTTTGTGCAGAGTCAGAATGTGTTGCGCGCCAAACGAGGCATTGGAGAAGCTGAGACTGGCGCAGCGGTCGAAAATAAGAATACTGCGGCTGGGATGGATGACGTTTGGGGTGATGACTTGGATCTGGAGGCAATCGCAGTTGACATGCACGAGGTTAATGCAGTGTAAGTTAAGAGAGCGACCAGTGTAAAAGGGAATCTCTGTCTCCCGTGCTAGAATTATAAATGTTCCAAACTCTGCTCGTGGAGTAGGTGTACATATACTTTAAACACATTATAAAAGTTCAGAAAAATATTATCATTTCTGAAACATTTTATTTTTATTATGTGGATTTCTGATTTCATGTCAGTAAATTGAGCCTTGATTGCCCCTTGTTTAAAATGGTGCACCAACAAAGATTCCCTTGGTAATCATTTCTGATATGGGTCATTAATTAGTTCACCATCAGTTTGCTTACTTTGAAACCATAATTAATTATGTATGTAGGTGTTTTCCATCTCACTTTTCTGTCATGTTCATATTTGTGCATAGTGACCATTTTTTTATTAATGTTCAGAAAGAATTTGCAAGCATGCACTATTACAGCAGTATAATTTTTGTGCATTTCTATTGGAACATAGTGTTTAAAGGGTTAACCAGTTCTTGTGAATTAATTACTGTGATTTGGAAACTTCCAATAGAAAATGTTTTATTACAGTTGCAGTTAGTTCTCATTGATTGTATGCTCAGGTTCTTTTTTCAGGTAGTATGCAGTTGCATGTCTTATGCTTGTTGATTTTTTGTATACACATGTCAGAGTACCAACAAAAGATTTAAAATTTGTTGGTAGAACATGAGAGAATAACAGATTTCATACTTAAACTTCAGGATGTCAGAAAAAATTATGGTGCATTTCCCATCTTTTGTCACACATGAATGCCATCACAATTTTTACTTAAATGAAATTCCTGCTTGACATAAAACAAAATTATAAAAATAAATGTTGCATCATTGCCATGGAATACAGGAATTCAATGTATTGAAATGTATAATAGTGAATAAAGTATTTTATTGCCTTATATCCCAATCAGGAAGCAAATCTTCTTTGAAGGCGTGCATTATGAAGTGGGAGAGCATTGATATTTTGAGGTTAGGTTGGAGCACAGTTGTCAAAATCTGAGGGCATTGCTAATGGTTCAGGGGCACTTTGCTTTTAGTGTTCTTAAAGAATTTGTTCATTAGTAACTGTATTTCTTCTCTTCTGACAGCTCTCCCAGTTAAAATATATGGCATTATGAATATCTCTGTGAGCCGCAAAGTTGCGTTTGACATTGCCAGGGTTAAGATATTACCAGACATTTCTGATGGTCCCTCTGACCCCTAAGAAGAAAATCCAAAACTGCAATGTCAGAAATATTTATAGTTTTCAATTACTGAGTGTGTTCATCATAAGCAGTGCATTATATGGTACATGGCACATAGCAAGCACACGAACGTCTCCTTAGGGTGTGAACGTGTGTTTCCATATGTTATTGTCACTTATAAAAATACAGATTAAGAAGTGTACGTGGAAACCATTTGTGGTGAGTCATCAGACTGCGTAAAATAATGTTTTCAGCAGAGATAATTTAGCCAGCTGGAGCCAAATAATTGACAGTATGCTTATAATCTGTTATGTCTTTATAAATACATGCATTTCTCAGAAGTTAGGTGACAAACATAAAAGAAGTGAATTTGTACTTTGTGTGGTAATGATAGGTTACTTCATCTCAATTTGTATATCATTATGATGACAATAGCTTACCTGATAACTCTTTTCATTGTGACACACGTGTTCATATGTTTACTTCTAGGTTTCTTGTCCGTAACAGTAGAGGTTATTGTGCTAGGTTTAATACTTTTGATATTTCAGTTCCCATCAGGTGCACGATTCTTCTCTTTGTCTCCAAATCCAGCCAAGCTTCCTATCCCAAGGTACTGAGCCACTTTCTGTGGGAGTAAAATTGGGCCGGAGTACCGCCTAGTCTTAAGGTTGATAGTTCTAGCAGCTCTGCGACCACTCCCCCATAGTGCGCTGCTTAAGCATGGTGTCTTGTGCCTGTTCTAAGATTGCCTTGGAAATAAATCAGACAATATTAAAACCATGGTGGGAAATGAATGTAATTTAGTATTCCCCTTTTTCATATCACATGTTCCTTGCTGTTACATATCCTCTACCAGACATTGAAGCCAAACCAATTTCTTCTTTGCAGCCAGAAATACCTTCGTGTGGAGAGAGATTAGTGTCATTATGAGTGATTCCTTATGAACTGTTTAAGCTTCAGTTCATTCACCGAGTCTGCTCTGCCAGTGCTCATCAATTAACTTTGGAGTGTAACTCTTTTGTTGATACAGGCTTAATAACTAATTCCTCGGGTCAAAGAAATGTTTTTCTTATGGACATTGCCTGAAAATGTTTAAACCAATACTGAGGATTGTCTTGCTACGTTCTCTAATTGGAGGCGGTGTCACGTGTCTTGCTTTTGGTAGTTACACTGTACATTTGCTAAATGGCTTTTGGAACTCTTCTGTTGAATAGTTTGTTTATCCTCAGATGGAAGGAGTTCAAAAGTTTTGTCACCAGCTCTTTTAGTGCCCTGATGACATCGACCCCAGTAATCCTTTGCTTTCTAACTTGCAGTGGTTCAGAAACTGAATAGAATTCCCACTTGACCATTCATTAGGAAGTTAATAGGGCTGCAGCACTGACCACCAGAATCAGTAATTTACACAAATGAAGAAAAAAATCAGTTGTTGAAATACTGAAAAATAGAAAATAGAAAGTTTATTCTATCAGATTGGAATCCCAGAAGGAAGAAAAAAGATGAGGTTGCATGAAAAAAAGAACGATTCTGTAGAAGTTGTAGGTTTGATGCTCAGCGGGCCAGCTAAGACTATCCCTAAGAAGATAGCCAAGTCGGCACGAGCGGTGTCTGACTGGTTGGCTACCCTGAGTGAGATTTACTGTGCTTTTCCTCAGAAAAAGGAAAATGCCAGGGTATAATTCAAAAGGGACACAGCCCACTTCCCCTATTCGTGGAGGCCAAAGTAATATATAAGTAGTATTTCATAACAACTCAGATTCTTCTGTTTATTATTACATTCTTCTTCGCCTGTTTCTTATCTTGGCTTTCGTGTTAGTGCTGCGTGTCCAGGTCATGTCCACATCAGTAATTTAAATAATACGAGAGTTCATTTTTCACTGTTCTCCCATACTTATCTTCTTGTTCTGCAGTCTCTCGTCCTTCAGCTTTGAAGAAGGGTAACAGACTACATAAATAATTTTGATCTTGCCTTCATAAGGGATTTTAAGTGTGAGGATGTCTTCGGAAAAGTTAGCCTTGCTACAATCTTTATTCCAGGAACTAAGGATAGCACATGCAAAGAGATGGAGATAATTGGAGTGTGGGTTATCTAGGGACACTGTACCAACTGTGGAGGTTATTTATCAGGTGAGATAGCATCATTTGTCAAAATTTTTGTCTCTGAGAATCAGGTGCCAGTCGCATTCAGATGTTACATTTGTGGTATCTTTAGTCTTTGCTGAAATTTGTATTTGGTGCTCATAATTTTATTTATAAATTATCCAAGATGTAGTGGAAGTCAAGGAAGCCACTTGGAACTATGTAATCACTTTGAGAGTTCCGTTTAGGGCGCGTTTCAAGCAAGTAACATGTTCGCAGAGTTGTGACATGATACGAATAATGATTCTGTAGTTGTTAAAAATGAATTTGCCCACAGGAATACAACCTTTACTGAAGACTCCAGTTTCTGTTGCAGTCAATTTGTCAGGAGTTGGAAGTTAAGAATGGAGTATCTGAAGCGACAGGAGAAGTCATGAACTGTGGTACGTGTAGCGTCTTTCAAGCTCATTTACAGGGGGGGAAATAACATCTTCCACAGAACAGAATTAATGAAACATGGGTGAAGTAGTTGACGTCAATGAACCCACTGTTATTAATTAATATTTCTTCGCCGCCTTTATGTTTTTCCAAAATGAGGTGCATATTTAGGGCTGAAGTATTAACAAAAATTGTTTTGTATGGCATGCTGGAAACGGGAGGGGGGAGTGGTTCTGGTGTATTTTAAGGTACACTCCTTGTATTTACGTAGAATGACTTGCAAAACACATAAAAATCTGAGGACAAGTGGCGCTTGAGCCTGGATTTCAGTAGTGCACATTTCATGTTCCTTGAAGCCATCCGAGTGACCTTGTCATCCATTTTCATTCTCTGTTTCCATGATGCAGCTCAACTTTAATATCTTTTTTCAGTTTTCCCCCGTATTAAAGCGTGCATGTTATTATGCCATCAGCAAAAAGCACGCACCAACTGTTGGCCGAATATCTCAAGGACGCCCGATATCGAATTCGATTGCTTCGTTGGTTAACGGCAGCCCGTGGAAAATGACGGTCAGAAGAAGAGTTCCGAAAGCAACGTCACTGAGTTACGTCATGACACTGTTATCTAGTGGGTCTAGGCGGAGGCATATTGCTCTCTCTCTTTCCCACTCGCGGCAAGGACACAAGATAATCTTCCGCAGAATTTGATCTGCAAAAAATGATCCACATAATTCACTTGTTTGTGAGTTCGTAGCAACGAGGTGTTTGAGTGGTGCGAGATGTAAACTTTCGAGTGCGTAGGCAAATAGGGGACCACGTTCTTCAGTTGTGCTGCTCGAGGTCAGGAAGTTATGTTATCGCAAAACTGGTTTTATCAAGTAGCTTCCTGTACAGGCATTGTTCAAAAACACTTCAGTTCGCTTACGAAGGAAGCGGGGATGTATCCAGTGGACAAACAAACAGGTAATACAGCACCAGGTTATTGTAAATGCCAGATTCTTTCGCAGGCCGAAGAATGTATCGAGGACAATCAGACGCAGGGGCGTGTCTGAAGGAATGAGAGGGCTGTCGTGTGCGGATGGAAGTGTTTTTGCAGCAGACAGGCGAGGACGCCCGTCCGCATCCACAAACAAACAACCTGGAGCGTGGTCAAGGAATGGTTCTTGGGCTTTGATGTTGCTCGCCATTGGTGCAAACCTCGTGCATTAACCATCTTTACGCCACAGTCAGTCGGTAGAAATGAACCGCACTCGTAGCGGCCTGATTCAAGCAGAAAGATTAAAACTTACTCGGGATTAAACCGGACGATTGCAATTTGTGTGATGTACTGCAGGCACCAGCAGGAGGTGCAGACCGAGAACCGAAATGAGGAATTTCTCGTTCCTCTGCGCAGGTGAGCGAGTCGGTATGAAGCGGCGACTGTGGTTGTTCCTGAGTGTCGCAACCACCGCGTCCACCGTCTTCGGTGATCCATTCCCGTCGAGTCTGAAGATCGGCGCCGCCTCCTCGGCCTACCAGGTCGAAGGCGCCTGGAACGACAGTGGTAAGTCTTCACGACGAACAGCAGCACCAGGTCCTAAATACGCGCAGTCTCCAGAATGTGCCAGTCTTTACTTGCTTTATCTAACAGGGGAGATCTGAGGTTCTCAAGGCTCTGAGGATGGTGTTGTTGTTCTGGGATTTGTAGCCTTGACAACGTGTCGGAGAACCATCTTCGGCACTGAAGATGGGTGTTTCTCCAAAACATTGGCAACTTCCGACGAGTGCCCACGGCTACAAATCCCAGAAGCGCGGTTCCTTTTTCTGATTTCCGAATAATTAATTCTTTAAGACTTTTCCATGTCCCTGCCATTCAGTTTGTTTGTCTGACAGGCAAAGGCGTTAGCATCTGGGACACGTACGTTCACGGGACGCCGTGGGTCGTGGACGGTTCCACTGGGGACGTGGCCGCCGACTCGTACCGCCTCTACAAGCAGGATGTGGCAGCTCTGAAGCAGCTGGGTGTAAGCATGGTCCTACTCGAGAAGCTAGTAGTTGCTCACTCAACAAATTTAAAGAGAGTCCGCTACCGGTTTCTAGCCCGGCCCAGATGAATCCAATCCGCATTCCCTCGGTCCATTTTAATATTGTCCTCGCACCCACACTTCGAACACCGAAGTGTTCCTGACACGATTCTGTGCGCATTTCTGGTGTATCATGCGTGCTAAGCGGCCGACCCATCTCAGGGTCCTGAATTTGGTCGTTTTGGCAAGGTTTAGTGAGGACTGCAGAGTCCTCTAGAGACGTAACAATTCCGGGGGTCCGTGTCATGGTCAATTGTCAAGCAGGAAATTTATCTCGCAATCAGTAACGTGTCCTCGTGTTCCTGCAGGTGGACTTTTATCGGCTGTCCATCTCGTGGTCGCGTGTCCTTCCAGCCGGCACGAGCAACATCTTGAACCCGGCCGGCATTGAGTACTACAACGCCGTGATCAACGAGCTCATGGACAACGACATTGAGCCAGTGGTGAGTCGCTCTTATCGAACAGTCTTGCCTGGAAGATTATCACAGGCCTTATTTTCGACGCGTCATGCGAAAACAATTATCACTGGCGTATGGCAGCGAACTTGTCTTGAGCCCTTCTTGCTGCCACGACTAAAACTCGTGTAATCGCAGGTGACGATGTACCACTGGGACCTGCCCCAGCCTCTGCAGGACCTGGGCGGATGGGTCAATCCTGTCATGGCGGATTTCTTCGAGGACTACGCTCGTGTTTTGTTCTCGGCGTTCGGCGACAGGGTGAGTCGCCCCTCCAAAAGGCTGGCCTGTGTTGTCTGCCTCTTTCTGGCCGAGTCGAAGCTGAGGTTAGGTTAGTCGTCTGTTTCTGATCTCGGTCCGCGCCCTGGTCACTCCATGTGGTGGACGAAACGTCCGAGTCCTCCGGAGGGCCGCATGAGAGGCGTGCAGAGCCACGTGGTATTTTGGTTACCAATGCAGCGTCTGCTCTAGGATCAGAGCTCGTCTAAGTAATATTTAAGAATCTAGCCCGTACCGCGAAGAAAACACAACTCTTCACCATTACGAAGTTCATAAGGAAATAAATAGATACAAAGCGACGAGTTATCGATTCTCGAAGCAGCTGGTACGTGAGGACTCGGCTTTGAAATGTTAATCGTGGCTGTCGAATTCCATGCGCAGGTGAAGTCGTGGATCACCATCAACGACCCTCACAGCGTATCGTACGGATACTCCGATCCGGGGCCCTACGCCCCCGGGGTGAACGGTGGCGCCGTGGGGTACTACCTGGCAGCGCACACACTGATCCTGTCTCACGCGAGGGCGTACCGCCTCTACGACGCGGAGTTCAGGAGCACGCAGGGAGGTAATGGCGCCCCTGCGCCTCGGCACAGTCTCTTGTTATTTTTTTCTTATTACGGGCCAATGTAATCGCTTTTATCGATCATTTTGCGAAGGACCCGTCTTCCTTTCAGGTCAGGTGGGCCTCGCGTTGAATGGCGAGTGGTACGAGCCGCAGAGCACCTCGGAAGAGGACAAGCGAGCCGCTCGGACGGCCATGCAGTTCGTGGTGAGCGCTCTCGACGTCATCCGACAGAAAGTCGCTTAGTTGGTATCGTATGTGCTTAGTAACGCCACTGCTAGCCTCTTTCAGTGTTTCGCGACTTATTTTCTTCTCTCTTTTCCCACCCACAAAATGTCGCCTCACGAAAACGGGGTTCGATATATCTCTGCGCGTGTGTATCGATATATGAATCGATGTGCAGGCTTGTGACAACTGAAGAACGAGATTATCGACGATGAACCGGTGTAAGACGTGGCTTTTCTCCATCTGGGGTCTAACTGAACCTAAAATGTTCTTGCGAGGCACCGCCCTAGGAACAGAGGCGTCGGAAAACAAGAGCCACTTACAGGTCACAGGCGAATTAATTCGGGGTCTGACTTGGTTTCGCTTCGCTTGTCCTGTCCACACGTGGAAATGCGAGGTATCGATTGTTCATGTCGTGCGAGTAGGCGACGCGTCAGTCTGGGCTTTCTTCCGCAGACGGGGCTCTTCGCCCAGCCGATCTACGGCCCGGAAGGCGACTACCCTGAAGCAGTCAGGGCGGAGGTCGACACAGTCAGCAGGGCGGAGGGATACCGCAGATCCCGGTTGCAGACGTTCAGTCCTGAGGAAGTCGCCTCCGTCAAAGGTAAGGCGAACAAGAAGCCTCAAAACTGCGGTGAAACGGCCTTCAAATAGGCCACGACACAGCCGCCATCTTCCGCATGTCAATCTAAAGGGTTCTGACGATGGTAGATTGCATTTTAAATTATTCGTCGTCTTTTATTTAATAAAACCGACGACGTTTCGGAAGCTGGTTCTGTCTCAGTCTTCAGGTCAGAGGTGCCTACTCTATTGGGTCCCTGAGATAGAGCCAGTGAATAATTTTAAATACATATTATTCGTCGCGAAACAAGCGATGTAGTTGAAACAGTGTTGTTAAATAACCTAAGAAGCAGCAGTCTGATACCGACGGCCTCAGAATACGCCCACACGCAAGTCCCCCTTTGTGGTTCGCGTCGGTTAAGAGAGAGAGGGAGGTTCTCCATTTTGAAACCCCAAGAGTACATAAGTCCCTGACATTGCAGGGGCCTTCGACTTCTTTGGGCTCAATTACTTCACGAGCCGCTCGGCGAGAGCGCCGAAGCCGACCCCTGACCTCGAGGACCGTGCGGACATCGACGTCACTTTCGGCGCACTCCCGAACGCCTCCGAGTCCGCCGCGCCCTCGTTCCAGGTGAGTTCCTCCGCGATTCCAGCGGAACAGAGCGTGTTGCATAAGCACACGGCGCGCACGCCCTGTTTTTTTTTTTAACGTTGATGTACCATCTACGTCCAGACATTCGAAGGGGCTTCTTTCCGCGTGTCGTTGATTCGCGAAATGCCCGCGAGGATTTTCCTCTGACCCGAAAGTTGCGTCCTCTTACGCAGGTCGTGCCGTGGGGACTCCGCAAGATGCTGAACTGGATCAAGACGGAGTACGACAACGTTCCCGTCGTCATCGCCGAGAATGGCTTCTCCGACAATGGGGAAGTCGAAGACTCGGAGAGAATCCGGTACCTGGTTGTAAGTACCCGTTCCCAGCGCAACGTAGCTCATAATTTAATCGACTTAGAGACAGAGAGTCCGCAGGCATCTGCCCCCGAATTTCTCCGCGTCACAACAGACTCTGTCCTTCCAGACTCTCCGTGGTTTTCAACAGTCCCGCCACGTGACCGTCTCCTCCCAAATCCCTTAAATCGTTACCACGAGATTGCGCGTGTCTTAGAAACTTCAGACGACGTACTAGTGACTTGAACGAAGTGCTTCTTGTTATCGAAATGGCGTACGACCTGGTGGGAGTTTTCGCGTGCCCCGAGCATGAAATTCTCTCGCTTTCTTCGCAGATGCACGTGAGCGAAATGCTGAAGGCGGTTCGCGAAGACGGGTGCAATGTGACGGCGTACACGTTCTGGAGTCTGCTTGACGGCTTCGAGTGGGATCGGGGATACACGTGAGTACACGCGGTGGAGGCGTCCCAGGGCGATCGCCGACTCAATTAACCGCGTAGACGACGCGGAGTTCAGGAGCACGCAGGGAGGTAATGGCGCCCCTGCGCCTCGGCACAGTCTCTTGTTATTTTTTTCTTATTACGGGCCAATGTAATCGCTTTTATCGATCATTTTGCGAAGGACCCGTCTTCCTTTCAGGTCAGGTGGGCCTCGCGTTGAATGGCGAGTGGTACGAGCCGCAGAGCACCTCGGAAGAGGACAAGCGAGCCGCTCGGACGGCCATGCAGTTCGTGGTGAGCGCTCTCGACGTCATCCGACAGAAAGTCGCTTAGTTGGTATCGTATGTGCTTAGTAACGCCACTGCTAGCCTCTTTCAGTGTTTCGCGACTTATTTTCTTCTCTCTTTTCCCACCCACAAAATGTCGCCTCACGAAAACGGGGTTCGATATATCTCTGCGCGTGTGTATCGATATATGAATCGATGTGCAGGCTTGTGACAACTGAAGAACGAGATTATCGACGATGAACCGGTGTAAGACGTGGCTTTTCTCCATCTGGGGTCTAACTGAACCTAAAATGTTCTTGCGAGGCACCGCCCTAGGAACAGAGGCGTCGGAAAACAAGAGCCACTTACAGGTCACAGGCGAATTAATTCGGGGTCTGACTTGGTTTCGCTTCGCTTGTCCTGTCCACACGTGGAAATGCGAGGTATCGATTGTTCATGTCGTGCGAGTAGGCGACGCGTCAGTCTGGGCTTTCTTCCGCAGACGGGGCTCTTCGCCCAGCCGATCTACGGCCCGGAAGGCGACTACCCTGAAGCAGTCAGGGCGGAGGTCGACACAGTCAGCAGGGCGGAGGGATACCGCAGATCCCGGTTGCAGACGTTCAGTCCTGAGGAAGTCGCCTCCGTCAAAGGTAAGGCGAACAAGAAGCCTCAAAACTGCGGTGAAACGGCCTTCAAATAGGCCACGACACAGCCGCCATCTTCCGCATGTCAATCTAAAGGGTTCTGACGATGGTAGATTGCATTTTAAATTATTCGTCGTCTTTTATTTAATAAAACCGACGACGTTTCGGAAGCTGGTTCTGTCTCAGTCTTCAGGTCAGAGGTGCCTACTCTATTGGGTCCCTGAGATAGAGCCAGTGAATAATTTTAAATACATATTATTCGTCGCGAAACAAGCGATGTAGTTGAAACAGTGTTGTTAAATAACCTAAGAAGCAGCAGTCTGATACCGACGGCCTCAGAATACGCCCACACGCAAGTCCCCCTTTGTGGTTCGCGTCGGTTAAGAGAGAGAGGGAGGTTCTCCATTTTGAAACCCCAAGAGTACATAAGTCCCTGACATTGCAGGGGCCTTCGACTTCTTTGGGCTCAATTACTTCACGAGCCGCTCGGCGAGAGCGCCGAAGCCGACCCCTGACCTCGAGGACCGTGCGGACATCGACGTCACTTTCGGCGCACTCCCGAACGCCTCCGAGTCCGCCGCGCCCTCGTTCCAGGTGAGTTCCTCCGCGATTCCAGCGGAACAGAGCGTGTTGCATAAGCACACGGCGCGCACGCCCTGTTTTTTTTTTTAACGTTGATGTACCATCTACGTCCAGACATTCGAAGGGGCTTCTTTCCGCGTGTCGTTGATTCGCGAAATGCCCGCGAGGATTTTCCTCTGACCCGAAAGTTGCGTCCTCTTACGCAGGTCGTGCCGTGGGGACTCCGCAAGATGCTGAACTGGATCAAGACGGAGTACGACAACGTTCCCGTCGTCATCGCCGAGAATGGCTTCTCCGACAATGGGGAAGTCGAAGACTCGGAGAGAATCCGGTACCTGGTTGTAAGTACCCGTTCCCAGCGCAACGTAGCTCATAATTTAATCGACTTAGAGACAGAGAGTCCGCAGGCATCTGCCCCCGAATCTCTCCGCGTCACAACAGACTCTGTCCTTCCAGACTCTCCGTGGTTTTCAACAGTCCCGCCACGTGACCGTCTCCTCCCAAATCCCTTAAATCGTTACCACGAGATTGCGCGTGTCTTAGAAACTTCAGACGACGTACTAGTGACTTGAACGAAGTGCTTCTTGTTATCGAAATGGCGTACGACCTGGTGGGAGTTTTCGCGTGCCCCGAGCATGAAATTCTCTCGCTTTCTTCGCAGATGCACGTGAGCGAAATGCTGAAGGCGGTTCGCGAAGACGGGTGCAATGTGACGGCGTACACGTTCTGGAGTCTGCTTGACGGCTTCGAGTGGGATCGGGGATACACGTGAGTACACGCGGTGGAGGCGTCCCAGGGCGATCGCCGACTCAATTAACCGCGTAGAGTCGTGCCTTTTTTTAATTTTTTTTTAAAAAAATGTCCTGAACCTGTTCTTGCAGGCTCAGCTTCGGACTGTACCAGGTGAACCACAGCGACGCCGATCTGACGAGAGTTCCGAAAAACTCTGCCCGCGTCTTCTCCGAAATTGCCAAGAAACGCGAACTTCCGGCCGAGTACTTGCGAACTGCCGAAGAGACGCACTCGAGCCTCGAGGACCGCGGCGACTCGAAGGACAAGACCGCGTCATGCGCCGGTGCTGCCAACAGCAAGCGGGTGTTGTCGTTTCTTTGGTTGGCAGCAGTGACGTGCATTTCTGCCGCCAGTTCTACCAACATCTGATGTCAGTGTGTCCACTTTTTTTTTCCAGAGTGCGAATGAATGTCTACGCCTGTTAATGTTTATTTTTCGCTTTGCACCAAAACCCTTACGTCTGACTCGAGGACCTACTTTAATATTGTTTTTAAGCTCGGGACAGATTCTTTGGTGTTGTCTTTACAGAATAGGTTTATAAAATTGCAATGTGAATTCAGTCAATGGAAATTAAATTACTAAATGTTGTCAGAATAATTCAGTACAAGCAAACCCAGACAGTAAACCATTCCAAGAATCCAGCGACGTTGCCACCACAACGATCAGCGATCGACGTGGCAACGTCGCAGTAACTCTTCGATGTTGATAATATTAAAAGTGATAGGCTCGTCCTTGGCAAAGTTTGAGGTTTGAGACGCGTGATTTCTGTCTTCATAATTCTGCGCGTTTGCCAAACGGCCGAAACGTCGTGTGGGCGTACGAGGGAGGAAGACGCAAACCAACGGCATTCGGGAAAAGTAATTTCTTTGTCCAATTATGTGTTGTGTGTCTTTGGTCAACAGAAAAGCCACGAGGAAATTTGCGAGTGTCCGTAATCATCGAGATGGGGGGTGCCCCTCGGAATGAGTCATTTATCAGCGCTGAAGGCCATGAATGTAGACTTCATTACGCCATCGCCTGAACATTTAACAACACGAAAATTGGTCTTATCGCATTCTATTTAAGACGTCGTCGTGTTTATTTAACAGAAAGTTATTTGTCGTGTCGCGGAGGCCGAGCTCAGGTAATTTTGTGACATTTTCCTGGGCGCGATCGACACTCCAGGAGCGGCCCCCAGAAACAGGTAACAGACACGTAATTTAAGGAACCAGGTCGAAACGTCGATCGGCAGAAACTGCTAATTCGGGAAGTTTCGTGTTGTCGCAAAGATTTTGCAAGCTGCGAGGTTTTCTTTTTGTTTTTTTGAGTCTTGAACGGAGGACCGGAAGTTTTTCCACGATCTGAGAGCGCGATTCGGATTGTACGTCGTCGAATACCGGATGCACCAAACACAGAAACGTCGCGCGCGAGGACAACAGATCCTCACGACATTCAAATTTTGTGTCTCGTTTTGTTCCGTCAACAGAGTTTGGGGGGGGGGGGATTTTAAGAAAATTATTTTGTGTTCTTCTAGGGCAGGGGGACTGTCTTACCTAGTTCGCGTATCACCAGTGGTACGCGTGCCCTAGGTCGAGAAACGCTGCGTCGCTATCGAAACTAAACTGCGATTTCGACACGACAAACGCGTTCATGAGCCTTTCGTAAATGTAGGTCGTGAACTCAGACGTGTTCTTTTCTTTACGAAAACTTTTTTCCCGGGTACTCCGCCATCTTGTCGGCCAGAGCAGACATTGTGGTAAAAATTGTAAAGAGAATCAGAAGTCGTGCATTTATTTTTTCGTATTCCGTCGTCAGTTTCGAAACCAACGTTACATCGCACAGGTAAGTCCGCCTGCTCATGGCCGCAGAGCTGATAATATGCAAATTTAAACGCTGTCGTCAGCTGAAAGTAAAGAGTTTCGTGAATAATTGTCAGCCGATATCTGCGGCTCTGAACCCCGCTGGCTGCCGTTGCAGTGGAGAGAATGAAAACGAGAGACAGCCGAAGGGGCCTCGACTAAAGCCCTTCAATTGTGTTGACTTCTTCAGGTGGCTCTCCTCCGGAATGGCGAGCAGATTCTTCTGGTGTTGCGGCGTCCTTGTGGGAGCGGCTTGCGGCTTCAACCGAACGCTCCCAGAAAATTTCATGCTCGGTGCCTCCACATCGGCGTATCAGATTGAAGGCGCTTGGAACGAGAACGGTATGGCGACCTTAACGAAGTCTGTTCTGTGCAAATTGGGATCTGAGGTTCTCTTGGCCGTGGCTGTCTGACGGCCTGGGTTGTAGTGCCGTTGGCGAACTTCTGCCAGACTCGCCTTCATGATGATGGAAGCAGCAAGGGCCTCCGAAACGTTGGTATACCAGTACCAGAATGCACGGCGCTACAACCCAGAAGACAGCCATCTTCTTAATCAGTAATATAGATAGAGATTCAATCGCACGTTTTTACCACGATAAATCGAGGAAAACCAGGACATGTGATTTTAATATTATCATCCGGTGTCCTCCTACTCGTGTCAGTAATCAGTTCCCACTAAAATTCAGAATGGTAAGAATTTTTTCTCCCATGTGCCCCTCGATAACGTCAGTGACCTCGTTGTCGAAACACAATTAAAAAGTTTGTCATTATGACATTGTCCATTTTAAAAGTTGTACGATTGAAGTTACAGGTAGCGGACAATGCCAACACGAAGAATGACGTCACTAACCGAGCTCTGAAATGGACCCGCTGCGGGCGCTGTGTGCTAATCGATTGTTTTCGTGCAGGTAAAGGACCGAGCATCTGGGATACGTACGCGCACGAAGGAAGTTTCATTGTGGACGGGGCGACGGGTGACGTGGCTGCCGATTCGTATCACCAGTACGAGCAGGATGTGTCAGCGCTGACGGAGTTGGGGGTGAGGACAGTCAGCTGATTGGTGCGAGAGAAATCGAATGTCGTCCTCGACTCCGGAGTCGGACATCTTTCGATTGTTATGAAGACGATCGATCCGGTTAATAATCTGCTCAGATAACACAAACCCAGATCGGGTTCCCTAATGTCAGGGAATTTGTTGATCAGCCGAGGGTTTTTTCCCCTGCACGGGAAACTTTGCACTGCGAAGTTGGCAGTTCGGGCTGTGACGTAAAAGATGGCCCACGCGTCCATAAAATTTTGTGTGTGTTAAAATACAAACATGGCCGCAGTTTAAACAATGAGATTAAAACTAGAATGTTTCAAAGGGAATTTTTGACACAAATCGTTGAGTAAGTTATACAAATTGGTATTTTATTTATATTTTCTCTTGCTTACATTTTCGTTTCCTGCGGAAGAATTTTTTTAAAAAAAGTAGGGCGAGTGGAGAAAAGACCGAAGGATTAGGCGAAGGCAAAGAGGAAAAGAATTGTATCGATACATCGCAATCCTCTTGCGATTGTGGGCGTTACTGCGAGACTGTAAATCAAACTCGCTGGCGATTACACAAAAGTCAGACAAGGTCGAACTCTTTCTTGTTTGCAAACTTCCGGCTTGCGACAGGAAGTCGACGTGACTCCTGTCGCGCGTTGAGTGCCACCGAGGCAAATTCAGAACGTGACGCCTCGACGTTGCCTTGAAGCACAATCGGACGGGGAAATCCCGAACAAGGTGACGTCGTCCAGCAAAATTAGACGCCGCTTTGTCGTGCATCTTGGGCTGATTATCGTTCGTTGTCTGAAACTGGTTCTGTCTGCGCAGGCGGATTTCTACCGGTTCTCAATTTCGTGGCCTCGCATTCTGCCAACTGGACACGTGAACGCGATAAATCAGGAAGGCGTCGGATACTACGACAGACTGATCAAGGAACTGAGGGCAAAGGACATTGAGCCAGTGGTAAGTACGAGGCGCCACTCGCCAGTGCGACTCGAGAAAAGACGACGGAAGTGAAGTCGCAGGACGGTTTCGTTTCGCAGGTGACGATGTACCACTGGGACCTGCCCCAGCCTCTGCAGGACCTGGGCGGCTGGACCAATCCTGTCATGGCGGATTTCTTCGAGGACTACGCTCGTGTTTTGTTCTCGGCGTTCGGCGACAGGGTGAGTCGCCTTCCCCCCCTTGCGTTTTGCACTGTCTCTTGTTAATTGGTCAGCTGTGTGTCGTGGCCGATTTTCGAAGTCGGACTTCCGTGTGTCGGGGCAGAATTCAGAGACCTTTTTTGTTTCCTTTGCTCTGTTGAGCGTCACGGCAGAAGCTTCAGCTAATCAGAAGAAGACTTTTTTTTATCGGACCGCAAACTCAAGCCGAAGCTCGTGAGCAAAATTTGCCGAAAGCCTGGATAAATCTTCAATGTCCCTCTCTGTGAACACAAAGACGAGTTCCTTTGTGGATCAGCGATGTCGGAGTTCCTTGAAACGAAAAACGAAAGCTTTTCCTCAGACGCAGTTCGTCTCAGGGTCTGGTGATGTGCGCAGGTCAAATGGTGGATCACCATCAACGAGCCGTACAACGTGATTCTGGGCTACAATGCCGCGCGGCCGTTCGCCCCAGGAGTGGAAGCGAAGGGCGTAGGCCATTACCTCGCCGCCCACACCCTGATAAGGGCCCACGCCAAAGCGTACCGCCTGTACGAGAAGAAGTTCAAGGCCGACCAGGAAGGTAGGATGGAAAATATTACGCAGCAGAGCTAATGCGCGTGAGCAGTGCAGTGATTAACCCTTTAAAGCCCAGTGGTAACTATATGCACCACCTGATTCAACAGTTAATAAATATTCATTTTGTGTTTGTGTCTCTCGTATGACTCTGGCAGTAAACAGCGATAATTTCCATAAACAGCGTTAACGAGTTGATCTTTGTAATGGTGAAGTGTTGTGTTTTCTTCGCGGTACGGACTGAATCCTTATATAATATGATTCAGACGAACTTGGACTTCTGAGGGTTCGTAACAATTCTGTCTTTGCTTTTTACGCGCTTAGAATGTGAGGGCCTTTCGTGTTTCAGGCAGGCTGGGTCTGTCGTTGTGCAGCCATTGGTTCGAGCCAATGACGAACTCCAGCGCCGACGTCGAAGTGGCAGAGGCATCGATCCAGTTGGTGGTGAGTGTTCGCGCAGGCAGACGATTGGATGAAGGTGGGCCGTGTGTTCTGGTAGGAGTTCACCGACGTTTTCAGAGGCCTCTGCTGCCTCCGTCAAGAGGGTGGACCTCCACCACCGCCCTCAAAACCTCAATTACATGTTACCCGCCATATTTTAATGTGCGAAAATGTCTCCGTCCTAAAATAGTTTGAGCGCTGGCCGCAGGTGGAGTTTCTTAAAAGTCTCGCAGAAGGATTTAGAGCTGAGCACTGCTTGGCGTCTCGTTCTTAATTAACTTGAGGAAAACTGCGAAAGCATGCATAACTTATTCAGAGGCTTTGTCGGTAACTGCGTTAGCTCAGTACCGGGCGTTTGTTAGGAAGGACAAAGAAGCGACGTTTCGGCCATCACAGCAGGCGCTGCTCTTGCTTCAGCTCGGTCTGTTCGCGCATCCTGTCTACAGCTCGGAAGGAGACTACACGCAGATGCTGAGAAAGATCGTGGACCAAGTGAGCGCCGCGCAGGGGTTCAACAGGTCACATCTGAGACACTTCAGTCCTGAAGAAGTTTCGACTATTAGGGGTAAGTGAAGGATTTTGAAGGTAATAAAAGGTAAATAAAGGCTAGAAACGGAGGAAGGGGTGATGATGCAAAAACACGTCACTCTCCGTTGAACTTCGACGGTCCTCTTAGGAAAAATGACTTCCTACCGCAGTCTGGCCTTGCGAACTCGTAGTCATGTCATCCTGACCGAAAATACTATAACCCGAAACACGGCTAAATCTTCTAAAATTAGTCTTCGAGCGAGTTAGTGCACATCGATGTCCTCAGTCTGCGTCAGGATGTTTCGTGCCTCGCGCTCCTTTCGGGAGGCGAACTCCGGCCTACAGGCCCACAGTAATAACAATTAAAGGGCTCGTTACAGGGACCTTCGACTTCTTTGGCCTCAACTACTACTCCACCCGCTTGGCCAACGCTCTCCTGCCGCTGGACGAAGCGGCCAAGTCTGAGGGCGACTACGTGAATCTCACTGTCAGCGCGAATTGGCCGACGTCTGTGTCGGAGGTGGTCAAGGTAAAGACGTCGCTCCGTAAGAACATTGTTTATGGCTCTCGTTTTGTTACCGATACTCACAAGATACATTTGTAGCTATGAAGTTGGTACCCCTGCTCATCTGATATATTCTCAGGTTCGCGTAATATGCTGAGATCAAAATGGCTGGAGGTTTGTGGGGAGGAGTTAACTGGAACAGGGAACAACATTTATGGCTGTCTTAATCCAAATGGAAGGCGCGTGGTCCTTTGATTCTTCGTGACGCGCTCTAGTGTCTGAGGTAGAGACAATTTAGCAGAGTCCACTTTCTATGGGTTGCGTCCTGTCACAGGTGGTGCCCTGGGGGCTAAGAAAATTGCTGGCTTGGATCAAGGATAAATACGACAACGTGCCAGTGTTTATTACGGAAAATGGGTTTCCTGACAGCGGGCAGTTGGACGACGTCCGCAGAAGCCAGTACATTGTCGTAAGTAGCAATTACGGAACCTCGGCCCGAAAAATTTATGCAATAATTTCACGATTCTACAAATTCCCCTGAATTATGCCGGAGAACTTTTGGCTAGAGAGGCCCCTCCCTTCGGTTTATAAATTATGTCTTTAGTCACGTCGGCCATTTTTTGTGTTCAGAGTCACATGAGCGAAATGCTGAAGGCAATTTATCAAGATGGCTGCAATGTGTTTGGCTACACGGTCTGGAGTCTCATCGACAACATGGAGTGGAGTCACGGATACACGTAAGTCCGAGGGTGTAAGAACAACAACAGATAAATCATGTAACCTCGCATATATCTTTTGGAAAAGGTTAAACTTCTGGACCTAGAGGTCTCTATCTAATTCATCGTGCACTGAATTACATTTCACAACGAAACTCAAAAATTGCAAGTTAAATATTTTCCTAGAAACGCAAACTAACTTTATTACAGTTCAGTTACTTTGGATATGAAAGGTTTTGTTGCAAAGCCATTCAGAGTACCAGGAATCCTTGTATTTCCATAATTAGACATCTTATCGAATTATTTTTGTTGTTGCAAAAATCGCTGCAAGTTAGTGACTGATTTTCAGTCATGCCGAACGGAGACCCCGTCTGCACCCTCGGGTGTAGCTAAAGGTGAGGACTTATGATGGCCGATAAACAAAATTTTCTTCGCCCCGAAGAAGGAGCAAAGATTGTGGATGTCATTAAAACACCGGAGCTTGCGAAAATTACGTAACGAGGACTTTTTCATTTTTGCTGTCCACACAGTATTGTTACGTTATTAAAAGAAGTTTAATGCAAGCGACATTTGTAACACGCTGAGAAAGCAAGAAATGCCAACAAAATTTTCCATGGAAAACTCAATGAAAAGAGAGTCACAAGGAGATGCGAGGAATTTAAAATGGGGGTCTTAATAAAATATGCCAGGAGCCAGTTTGGCCTGACCTGTAAGAAAATCGGCTGAATAACTGCCATCTGCTAAAAATCAACCACCTCTTAAACTAAGCTTTTGTCTAATACAACTTTTTGTTTGGCTTTCCACAGAGAGAAGTTTGGGCTGTACCACGTTAATTTCAGCGATCCAAATCGTCAACGGACTCCGAAGAGTTCTGCTCGTGTTTTCTCCGAAATTATCAAAAGACGTCGGTTGCCAGAATCTTTTCTGAGGGTTGAAACAGAATTTTCGTCGGAGATTACAATGGAATATGCAACGAATAACTGTTCCTCCCCAACGCAACATGTTACCCATGCCAGCAGCGGACGAAATTTGTTTCCTTGCAGTAGGAAGTTCCTCGCTGTGTGGTTGGCGACACTGACCTGCAGTAGCTACATCTTCAGGTTATGACGCGAACCGTGTATCGATCTGCTGGCGAAGTGTTGTTTTTTATGAAATCAGTGAATTTGGAGTTTAAGGACTTTTCATGCGTAAGTAAAGTGTGTATATTATTAGTAACTGGTTCGTAAATTCCTAAACTCGGGAACAGAACTTACCAAATGTAGCAGAATATAACTTCCTTAGATGATGTTTGTGAAGCAAGTTTTCTCATTTTCTGTCGACCACAAAGTCCAATATAATGGTATTTAGTTTAACATTAAAAACTTCCGAATACAAAGCAGATTTGTCACAAACATAAGCGTTTCGCGTTAAGAACTTACGAAGAAATTACACTTTACACACAAAGTTTATTTTTATTTTTACTTAGTAAAAATTATAATGTAATACTTTGAGGCATTTCTATGAACTATGTAAAAGAATTTGAAGATGGCTGCCTTTTGGGTTGTTGTGCCGAGTGGTCTGGTAGGAACTTACCGACGTTTCAGAAGTGCTTACTGGCTCTGTCAACCGGGCAATGATGGAGACGTCAGTAAACTTCTACCAGGATTACACAGCACAACAACCCAGAAGACAGAACTCTTCAAATCCATTTATTATTTTAGGTTTCTGTGGGATTGTCAGTTTAGACAGTTGTCGTCTGTTTCTATTCCATTTCGTAAGAGCGTGTTGAACCCTGATGACTCAGAAGCCCATTAACGATAAACAAACTGACCAGATCTAGTAATTCTCAAAATGCACCTGGCTTTTGCTGGAGCACTGGCCGTGTCCCGCGACGGATCTCCAAGATGTAGATGAAAAGGCGGATCGTGAAAAAGTAAAATATTTCAATGATGCTGAGTACGCTACAGCCCAGGAACAGGCCTCCTGTGCCCCCAATGGACACTGCAAACAGAGCTTGAAATTAATAAACGTTTTGCACACATTTTATAAAAATTACAAATATAAAATCTGTGCTGCCTCCTGCCTACACAATCAGAGTATTAGGGCACGCAGAATCGAACCAACACTTTTGTTCCTAAGTAGGATTTGAGGTTTTCGCGGCAGTGAGTCTGAAGATGCCTGTCCATCGTCAGGGCGATGAGTGAGACGTCATTGCCCTGATGATGGAGGAAGCCTCAACGTCTGAAATGTCAGTAAACTACCAGACTACGCGGCGCAACAACCCAGAAGGCAGCCATCAGCAGTTTTGTTTCTCATCGCATAACCCGTCGTCTCGCTTGAAATGTAAATGAAGTGTTGGATCAGTTTTGTTCTGAGCGCATGCTTAGAGGTAGCAATGCAACCAATTGGTTATTTCAATGCATAATTCTGAGTATTGTGACAAAATTATGACTGATAAGCTCTAAAGAACAGAGCAGTTCTTTAGAGTGACTCACCCCAGAGATCACCAAACCCAAAGATCACATCTCTCTTCAGCCGCATTCGGGGATAATTCTGTATGCCACACTCCACGGACGCTCCAATCTTTAATCTGAATGGGAACAATGCAAGTAGGCCTACTTTAATTAATGATTTAACACTGACTTTCTCCAGAAATGCAATGTAATGGAAGCTAGAGAAGATGCATGATGAAGGTATGAGGACATGAGCGTAAAGCGACGGTCAGCCGTAGAGGCAAGTGAAAGAAGAGATTTCATACACCGTTCAGATTTACTACTATCCCTCACTTTACCATCGTCCAGTCTCCTCCTAGCAGTCAATTTAAAGCTTTCTGCTCTGGACAGGTTTTTACTCTAACATTCTTTGTCGTTCGTGTTCACACTTCGCTGCCTTTCATCTGTTCTTTTACTGCAGTTTCTTCTGCAATACCCGTTCTTTGTGAACAATAATGTTACGTCTAATCTTCTGTCTGCTATTCTCCAAAACTCCATTTCAGTGGCATTTGTTCTCATCCTCTCGAGCCCTTACCCCTTAAGTGCGTTCTCATCTCAGTGCCTGTAATTATTTTACTGTTCCATGGCTCAGAACTTAAACACAGAATTCATTTCCTGCTAAATTTACTTTCCTCGCTGTGTTCTTGGGTGCAACCTCACAAAGCAGTGTTAAAGAGCACTTAATTTTAGAGCTGGCATCCTACAAAACTCTTTGTTGTAGCATAAAGATTTCAAATTTGTTCACTTTCCCCCCTGATTTATTATACCAAGTAATTTGGATTTTTGTGCAACAAATCAGAGTAATTAAATTTAATTGTTGTTCGCGCCCGATGATTTGAGTTCCACTGCCAAGCAACCCGAAGTAAAATTATGAAATCTCCGAGGAAAAATCCATTTGTCGAGTCCATCTGCTTTCATCCGAGGGAAAAATCGCTCTTTGGGAGTTGTTGACAGGGACGCAGGTGCTCTGGTGTGGGGGTCAAAGATCACTGAGCGAACTGTGACACCGTGCATACATTTCCTGATGTGTTGACATTCTGTGGTAGTGGGGATGGGAGGAGGGTGTCAAATTTGACTGGAATTTCTATCATAATATGTCAGTAAGTCATATTATCTGTTTCATATTGACCAGTGTTCTTGAGGTAGGAAAACAAAATCACACATTGTGAAAAAGTTACAAGTCTAGGAGAAACAAGGACAAACTTGAATGACTGCTAAGAAATATGTCCCAGTGCATATATTTCTGTTCCGACGCATTGGTCTACGTGGTTAACGAGAACTAAGATGGGTCTCACATTTACATCAATAGCAAACTTACATATTTGGCTTGACATCTTCTTCCTCCAAGTAGAACGAGACTTGATCGCATTCAGGCAAGCAATTGCAAGGATACTTCCTTCCAGTTATTGGGTCCACGAGCTTGGTCAGTAGTTCTGTCAACAGAAACACACCGATCTGAATCACGTGACTATATGAAAATGTTCCCGTACTTAATCATAATGGTTGACTGTACCTGAGTACTTTCCCAGACACTGCATTCCGTGTACGTCACAAACTTTGATTCGTCCTGAAACAGGTGAAAACACAGAGGCACTCTTAATGTTTGAAATGTTTTTAAATACAAGAGAGAATACAAACGCTGTCTTTGGGTGGCTTTAGACAGATGCACATTGCATAAGAATCTAACAGCATCTTTATTTGACCGCTGTGTGAGATTGAGGGTTCTCATGGCAGCGAAGGTGATGACGTTCTGGGTTGGGATGCCATGTGACCTTATGTATAGGCAGTCACAAATGTGCCATCCCTGAAGAGAGCTTTTTCATTTAAACAGCGGCGTCTACCGATGAGCCCACCCGGCCTCACAGTCCAGAAAAATTAGAGTAAGTGACGCTGCTGAATGAAAAGCAAATACAAATAAGAATGTAGTATTTGAGGCTCTCGCAGCGGCGAGTGTGAAGATTGCTGTCTTCCGGGTTTTGCGCCGGGTAGTCTGGTAGATTTCCACCAGACTACACGGCGCAATAACCCAGAATACAGCAATCTTCAAAGGGAAACATGACTTACAAGTATATCGCGAGATTACTCGTGTGGAGTATGGGAGCCCAGTGTTTGCTCGTACATCTGTGCCATAGAGATTCAAGGTAAAATATTTTACTGTTCTTATAGATGACATTTTCAAACCATTGTTATTCTGAACTTGCAAACAAACTGAAGTGCATAAGAGGACTGCAGAAACAACTTTCCCATGGCATGGATTGTGATTAAGGTTAATCAGAAGTGATTAATATTAGCTGAAATGCTTTTTGTAAGATGAATGCTGAGAGTTACGTAAACACAGAATTTTGTTCCTGTGCAGAATTGTAAATGTAAAGACTGCGCTCCGACAAGAAGCCAGTCGGTAACTAAACAGCATGCAATGATCAAGACACTTGCTTTGAAAACTGTGTACCTGTCTTGCGATAGAAGTGAGGAATGCATTTGCATTTTCTCCATGCAATTCGCCTGCGGCATTCCATCCGACAGAAGTTGAATGTGTACACGGGGCTGGTTCTTAGGTCGTTCTCATCAGGAAAGCGACATTTCCTCTGCTTGATGCTGAGTGCTTGTGCTTCTGCAGTTGTGTGGGTGGACAGGGCCTTGACTTGTACGGTCCGGATCTTGTCTTCAGGAATGCTCACTTTGGTGTTGGATGCATCCAGCACGTCATATGGACTGTGGTAGTAGAACTGCGCGCACACAAGTCCTCAGTGCATGAATGGCTCAGAAGCAAGAGGTAAGTTGAATATGATAATTCTGTTTTGCCCCAGTGTATTTAAAAACTGAAATATTAACTCAGTCCAGCATTGTGGAAATGGTACTATCCTCTGAGTTGCAGGGCTGCGGAGTCGGTACTAAACTCTCTGACTCAGGCTTCGACCCCGACTCCTTCATAAAAGCTCAATTTGTACTAATAAGGGTAAACCTACTAAAATAGTAAATGGCACCATAAGAGATTTCATCACCACCACGTGAATCATCAGCCTACTTCGACTTATACTGGGTACTGGGAACAAACCGTTCTTCAAGTGCCTTAGACTTATAACCTATAAATATATGTCTAATGGTTATTGCAGAAATCGGTTGATTTCTAGGCAGTTTTATTCCTAAGGTACTGGAGCCAAAGTTACAAAGCATTATTCCCACACTACGTAGCTAAGCGTGAGGCCGCCGGCGACTCACACGGCATAGAAATTGATCTTAAGATTTTATATCGAGGTCTGAGTAGGTGTCGGTAGCTTAAGGACTTCCAAATAACCTTCCAGGACCTCTCCAGGATTTCTCCAGCAATTGTCGATGACAAGACAATTTGCGCATAACGACTCCAAACCTACTAATGGCTCAACTTCTATAGAACCTCTGCATATCTTTCCAACAGCTGTCTGAGACTTCTCCAGCACATTTTTACTGACTCCGACTCCACAGCCCTGCTTTCTTGACCCACCAGATCACCTATCAACGTTTTAAAAAAAATACTCTACTTCGTTAAGTAACACAGTGAATTAGTAAGTAGGCTGATTAATTACTACGTTAGTTTGCTATGTTGCTAAGATATTTTGTCTGGTGGTTGGTACTTAGTACAGTGACTTTGAGACGTCGGTGGATTCACGTGATCTCAAAAACAGACACGTTCAGTTAACAAATGTCTGAATTGTGTTGAGTGGTTGCAGAAATCGTGGAAATCTTTAGGGGATTTTGCATTATTAACTGATGACTCACCATCACATCTTTTCCTTCTATGGCAATAAGGTTCAGTTTCATAGGGCCAGTGACTGGATGACCTTGGAGCTTCTTGTTCGTGTCATATGGGACAATGGACCAGTTGTTTTGTGCCCAGTAGCTGCGAAATAAGAACCCAAGTTTGTAACATGTGCCAGTGCTGTAATGTGGCAGATGGTGCAAGTGGTGTCTGATTAGACGTGTCTTCTTTTGTCTCGTCATGATTTACTGGCGTGGTAACGTCTGAATCAACGATTTGCAAATGAACACGGTTGGCGGGTTTGGACTTCTCCCTGTTCCTTCCAGTAAAATGGCTCATGACTGAAAGATGAAGAGTCTTAACGCAGAAAGGTTCGTTGTTTTGTGCAAAGAACATGCCCCTGAAGTTATTCAGTGTTTTTTAGAAACACCCTGTATACTGTTTTCGTTGAACTTTCTCGCGGGAAGAGAAAGTTGACAAAATTGTTGAAGACGGCGAGCGCAACGACCAACACCGTGGTTCTCAACCTGTGTGCCGCGAGACATCGAATAGATGAGTGATCGCAAAACATGAAATGTGCAAATTAAAAATCAATCAACTATCAACATCGCATTGTTGAGTATATTTTAGTCTTTTGTTGAAGCGTAACAAAAAAAAACTCACGTCCGAAACTTGGAATTTCAAATTACTGACGATGGTGGCGGAGTTACAACAATGCAGACGACATGCCCTCGTACATATAACATCAGATTTTATGGCAGGGTTTTAATTTTGTATATACACAATTCACTGAAAGTAACTTGAGATCGTAACAACAGAAGTAAATAGTAACTTATAACCGCTTACGTCATCGGCAGTTAATCACTCGCTTGTGCTCGGCTTTGTTCGGCGTTAACATCTGTCGGTTATTACCGAGACAATCGAATTCAACAGGGTATTTCGAAATGTGATTGCACATGACTTCCTGCTTTCAGACACAAACTTCGTACAAAACTTACTCTGGGTTGTTGTAAATTGCGACACGTGTGTTGTACGTGTAACAGACTCCCAGCTCCGTCACGCTGACCACGTTGGCCACGCTGTTGGGATCCCGCGATGCGTCAGAGGTAAAATATTGGTAATGCAGGTCCTTCCTTATCTAACGCAGCGTGAACAATGCATAGAAATTAGTTTAGTGGCGGCCATTGTTAAAATTGTTGGTTCCTTTAACTGTGGACGCGCGACGACACTGACCTCTAGTATCGCTTTCAAGTACTCGTCGCTCTTGATGGGATTTTTCGGGATGTCTGTCATATCCTTGAAATTTTCGTAAGTTGCACTGGCCAGCATCCGCAAGAAATTCTTCACCTTCTCTTTATCCTCAACGTCTTTCAGGCTAAAACGCAAAGAAAAAACCAGAAATACCAAACCCTTTGTAGCCTGGTTATGTTTTGTTTTCGTGGTTCATGCAAGGACGTAAATGACGTTTCCCGTCTCTGCTAACGAACAGCCGAAGGGCCTCAGATATAAAATTTGACCAAAATCAGTTTAGTGGGCCACAGAAGTCACCATAAGATCTGTCTTGTTTCGTAATCTCGTAAAAACGTGCGCTGACCCGAGTTTAGGGCGTGGAGGTCGAAGGGTCCGATCACACCCTCAATCCGGCTTGTGCGATTTCGCTGGTAGTGTCAATACACTTTACAGCGACTCAGAATGCCCTGGTAAAATTTAGAGACGGCCGCGTTCATAATTGGGTTCTTCCAGCTGTCAACTTACGAAGAAGTACGCTAACCGGGAAATTTGGGAAGTTTTGCCGTGGCAAGAGAATTCTACTGCACCTGTCGACGTAGGCTTCCAACTTTTCCTCGTCGACTCTGTCCGACGGGCACAGCGTGCCGGATGGCATATCCGTGGTCCAGTCCATGAAGTTCCTCTCCATGGAGATGGCTGACGGACTGCCGTCGTAGTGTCTCCAGATGTCAAAGCTCACCCAGACTGACCCGAAGATCGCCAGGACGACGATGGACGACCAGACGAAACTGCGACACACAGAACTGAGAGATTCCTCCGGGTCTTTGGTGGTCGCCTGAAGGACCACAGACCCGTCTTTCGCCAAAAGACACGACGCCGAGGATGGATGAACCGATTTGCACCAAAATTGGCATGATTATCACTTGAAAAGAAGGCGAGGTTTTGGAAAGGTGGAAAGTGTCCTTAGTTCGGGTCCCGGTGAGGGTGGATTCTGAAGGTGAGTAACTGATCAAGATGAAAAACGCGACCAAGAACAAAGTTGTTTCGTCTGTGACGTAACAGGAGCAAAGTTACAAATCCAAAAACTGGGTTCGAGGCCCAGTGAAGATTTGGAATTTAGGGATAATAGTTTTTTTTCTATAACATTCGAGGTTGTGTGTCAAATGGACTTCCGGGCAATAAATGTTCCGCGGTGGCAATGCGGACATTGATATAGAAATATGTTTGTATCAGTTTATGAGGCGAACTGCAGACTGCACAATGTTAGATCAATACAAACGCGAATTTATGTGAAACCAGACTGCAGCATAGGTTAGGTTAGGTTAGGTTAGGCGGGAGGTGGGCAGACTCTGAGCTCACCGTTCTAGCAAAGTTCTCTTTTCTGCCACAAGGTGGTTCAGACCGTGGATGGAAGACTGGCCTAAGAACAAGGCGACGAATTCTAAGGCCGTTCCACAAAATGTCCTCTTGGAGTTCTTGTGGGCGGCTGCGCGCCCCCTAGGACCCGGATGGCGGCGAGGCATCTGCCTCGGACGTTTGTTGACGCTGCTTTCTGGAGCGGGCCTCTGAAACACGAACGCCGTGGTCATGACGCAATCGCGTAATCTTTGCATTTGATGATTCAGTGAGATCTTCCGTCTTGGGGCCACGCCCTTCTCGGTTTCTTCAGCTGATGAAATTCGTTCAGCCCCTGATTGATTTTCTGTGTCCTTTAAGGCGGATTAAGCCTCGCATTAAATTGGTCTGTGACTCCAAAATATATCAATTTCGTGAATGCAAGTTTGCAGAACGGGTTTGCTGTACTCACATACCATTCGCTTGCTGAACTCTACTTGCAATGATGACGTTTTAGGGAACTGAACTCCCTGCTTCTTCAGGACGAATTAAATTGACTCGGAAAACTGGAGTAAGGCTAGCGTTGCATGAAATACGTTTACGTAATGCGGGGTGCTTTCTGGATGTCGTGACGACACGACACGATTCCAAGTAGCGATCCCGTGTCATGCAAGTTCCGGAAACAAATTACACGACAAAAGGAACAAACATTTACAAGCAACAAAACTTATTGGGTTTTATGACGTTGGTTTATGAAGGCCGTAAATATTTTATTACGAACCTCTCCTTGTGTCAATGAATCGCTGACACTCCGCAATTAACTGAAGTGTTTGCTGGAAACTGAACATGAATTTACGTACAAAGAAAAAAGTTTTCAGGAATTGCACGGTCGCCATGTTGTCCTCCGAAATTCCGCTAAGAACAGCGTTGCCAAAAAGGTTGACCCCCCCTCCCCCCCGAACATTTGATACTGTAGTCCACTCCAGCTTGCAAGTTCGTCCGTCAGCCATTTTGTTTTTACCGACGTTCGAGACGTACGTGCTGCCTCCAGCATCAGGGCAGTGACATTGTAGGCAGCAGGCACCTCTGAAACGTCGGCAAACTTCTACCAGACTACACGATTCAACAGCCCAAAGGACAGCAGTCGTTTGAGCGTAGTTTAGTAAAAGTAGGCGATGGCGAGTTTGAAATGTTTGGTCTTAAAGTTGGATGACTTATATGGTATAGTTCTCACGTTTAGCCGCCAGATAGCAGTCAATTTACAACCTCGCACTCTAGCTACTAGTATTAGCATCGATTTATTTATAGTTCTCCAATCGAAATGCGCTCAAGTGATTTGTCACAGGCAAGTCTGCGATTAGAAAAGGCCCCTTTGTCTGGGGGACAATTTGCAAGTGCCTCATGTTGGCAGCTGCCCCGCGCGACCTCCTGTTTGACCGGTTCTGAGTCCGGGGCACGCGACTGGCTGGCAGCGCGTCAGTCAACTGTTCGCGAATTTTCAGTCACTCGCCATCGGTTGTCGCTGCTGTAGCAATGGCGCAAGCTCGACGCGACACGAGGGAAATGCGGACCGACGTAGTACCAGCCCGGTAAGTGCGAATGTTATCTTTTTGGTCAGCTAAAATGAGGTGATGTGTGCTGTTGTACATAGCAAAACAACGGACTTGTTAATCTTGCAGCCGTAGTAGAAACAAGAGATGCGTACAACATTTTAGCGTAATAATAATATGGCTGCCAGGAACGTTTTGAATATTTGAACCGCATTGACTGCGTTGTCGATAGGGTATATACAACTGCGGACTTTTGACTTCTGATGTACCGAAAATAGGAAGTTTGTTGTTGCTTACGACAGGTGCGCAAACGTGGAGGCGCGGAAATTGTTTGCTTGCGAGAAGAATCCTGTCCCTTCACGATTCGTATGCAATTGTTGTGCCTGGGGCAGCGTTTTGAATGGAACACTCACTTTACCAACGTTTCGGAGGTCATTGCCGCTCCCATCATCAGGGCTACGAATC